AAACAAGCAACCTGTATTCAGACCTGAGAGAGGGATAAAAATGCAACACATTCAGAGCCTGCTATTTTCCTGCTGGGTAGTGAAAGGGTAGAAATGCAGAGAGAGATATCTTTGGGAGCAGCAATCCATAACAAGGCTGCCGAGTCTCAGAACCAACCGGACTGGCTAGACATAGCTTGCTGAAAAAAATGCAGACCAAGGATAGCCAGATCTCAGCATGCAGGAGGAAGCACCCTGCAGTTTCAGGATGGTTCCTACCTTAGCAGCTAGAGGAAGGGCTGTGCACATTTCTGGTACTGAAAGGTTTTGCAAGTCCTTCATAGGGTCTCAACCCTCCCTCACAGCCAGATCCACCTTTAGCATTGGAGTTCTCCTCCCCCCAGCCAAGGTAAAATACTAGAAAAGCACCTGCCTCAGCATCACACCTTTAACAAGGACCTGAGATTCAGTTAACACCAGTGCCATTGACCTGTGTGGTTTCCTCCCAGAGAAGAGCCTGATAGCGCTCTCCCTGCTGAGAGCAAGTAAAAAACATCCTCTCCAAGCCAAGAAACACCAGAAGGCAAGTAGGAGCAGAGCCGATGGTGAAGCACAGACAGCACTTCCCCCAGGCACCTGGTGTGTGTGTCTGCATGGGAAAAGTCTTGCATTTTAAAAGATATCACTGAAGCCTGAAAAAAAAACCAACTGTGAAAGTAATTGTCTTTCTGAAAGGGAAGTTAGATTAACTGTTACAGGCATCAGCCACCTGGTGAAGGTTTCTCAGTATCACCCAAGGTGAGAATGGAAACCGTTGGGGTGATACTGGTCAAGCCCCATTCAGACACTCTGCTCCAGCTTACATGCAACTCTGGTTGAGTTAAACACCTTCCCAAAGGGCACAAAAAACAAGAGCTTTGCTTACAGTAGACAAGAACATCTACATGGGCGCTGGACCAGCAGTACTGCAACGGCTACACTCTCACCTTGGGCGATACTGAGAAACCTTCCCCAGGTGGATGAGGTCTGTAACAGTCAGTGCAACTTTCTTCTCAGAAAGTCATTTACATTTGCAGTTAGTTTCTCTTCAAGGCTTCAGTGATCCTGGGCGGGGGAGGGATGGGGACACAGATTTCACCACTGCAGCTCACACATCTATAGGCTCCATAAGGAGGCATGGGTTTAAAAACTCTGGCACAGATGCCTGAAATCCTTACAGAATAGATACATGTCAAGTTCCCACTTCCTACTTTTCCTCTTTCAACCTCAGCTAAAAGCAGAAACATCGCAATATGTGATACAGAAGTGCAGTCTAGCAGGCAGAGCTTTGACAAAGGGAACAAAACCCTGAGTTCCCCTAACCCTGATGTCCTCCAGCTCCCCTGACCCTCAAGTACTCAGTGATCCTGTACCTAGCCCACTCCTCCACTGGGACACTGGATACCCATTGCCCTACACAGCTCACGAAGCACTCTGAGAAGCCACAAGATTGGCAGCTGGAGGGGACATCACACTTCCTTTAAACACCATCTCTGACAACATTAAGCAGAGCTCCACAGCTTCATGGCACAGAGAACAGATGAAGAATCTTATGCAAGTGATCCCAAATAAGCCAACTGCCTGTGACAACGCTCCCTGCTCCAAAAGCATGTGTCAGGAGGCTACAGGAGAGGCTAGTAAGCTGAGTGACATGCTCTTTAGGCAGGAGGAATCCTCCCAATCCTTTCCAAGAGTTACTCAGAAAGGCTGGAAACTCCAGCAGGGCCAGCAGCCAGAGGGGGGAGAACAATTGGAGATCCCACAGCAAGGAGGCGCCCTCCAGCCTTGAAAGCTGGCTCTTTGCAACACCTGGCTATGGCAAAACAGCCCACAAGAGCCTAATTTGCTTCCATCCTATCTCAACCTCTGGAGCACTCTGCTCACTAGGAGACACCACAAACTGCAGTGCCAGGGCATAGGAGTGTGGCAGATCAACACTGTCCCTCTACCCTCTACTGCTTCACTTCAAAGCTGGGCATAAACATAGACCAGTCATTTATGTACCTCTACTTCTCACCCAACCAAGAGGACAGCAGCCTTGTGGGGACAGCCAGACGCTGCTCTGGTAGCTGATGCTGTCAGTACGCCAGCTTCACAGCAGCTCTGTGATGCATGCTATTTCCAAGAGAGGGAAGGGCCCCTGCTCCCAAGCTGGACAGAAAGCGATGCAGAGTTGGCAGCAACACTTGGCACCAGAGCCAGGCAAAATATTCTAAGAATCAAGACAATGTGCCGAATTTGCATTTGTGAGGGCTGGCAAAAGTTGTAGGCATTTCACATGTCACAGTTGCTCAGTGAAGTTTCTCCATGAATTATAGTTGTTTGAATGTCCATAAAACAGGCAAGGGTTGTTTCCAGTGGGGCAGTGCCCATTTGCTCATGCAGATGAGGAAAACCAGAACTAGTAGCCATGAGCAGGACATCTGAAGGTCCAGCCCCACCTGATTCTTTCGCTAGTTACCATGGTTTACTTGTAATGTGCTGTAGAAGCACATTTTTGAAACCTCACAGTGTCTCCTCTATTTTACAGAAGCCAGAAAGGGGAAGTTTATTGCCTACGGCTCCAAAAGGAGCCCTTATTAAGCCTCAGACTAGAACCCAAGTCTTCTATAGCTAAGCAGCCTATTGCCTACATGCCAGACTATTGGTCTCCCTCTTCTTCACCCTCGTCATCCTCCAGGACAATCTCACTGCCCTGCCTTCTCCTCACTGCCCCATCACCTTTCCAAATACTGATTCTTTCGGGCTGTCTCATCGCTCCCACTTTACCAGCCTTTCCTAGGCTTTCCCACCCTTTTCCTGCCTATTGCCTCCCAGTAGCAACATGCAGTTGCCCTCCAGCACAGAGCCCAACACAATAAACTCAAGAGTTTCTTAATGTCCATGCCATGTTATGCCTCAGCTTTACGGAAGCAACATCAGCAGCCTTTGGGAAAAGGCTGTCTGAGGGTTTTCCTGAAAAACAGTTCACTAGCACTAACATAACCGCAGTGCCACCAATGTTTCCAGCACTGCAAGTCTTACCACAGGAAAGGAGTTGGCAGCTGCTGGTAATATCAAGCAAGACCTTAGAGGTCTGCAGAGCTGTTCTGACCTGGCATCATGTAAAGGCCCCCATTCTTTCTACAGCGAAGGGAGATGAACAAGCAGCAGGTTTCCCCCTCTCTCCCCTGACACATACTATGCTAATACAAAAGCTAAGAGAGGCTGCAGATATCTGTGTTAACTAGGGAGGATGACTTAGTTGCACTCATGTGGCTGCAGATGTCTTAAGTCTTGGCCAACATGACTTTTGACTTGAGTAGGAAAAACTGTCCCCATTTTAAATCCAGACTAGTTAAAAAAAAGTTTCACTGCATAGTTCCCTCTCTGAATAACAGTCACCATCTCAAGTCAAGCTGGAGATTGACATGAGACTGACACAGAGAGAAACAGAATAAATGCATAGACCAGCAGGAAGAGAGACTGAATTATGAGCCACTGAACAGCTTTTCCACGTTGTTTGTGACTGCCAGAAGGGAATTATCCCAGGGAGGTCAGATTCTAAACATGCTCTTTGTACTGAGAGCCCTCCTCTCTCCTCTAGGACTTGTTTACACCTGTTAGAACAAATGCTTTCCCCTTTCTTTTCCCTGAAGGGTAAGTGCAAACTGAGCAGGTGATGCTATCCAACTTTTAGACACAGTCTGCCTGACAGTTTTTTCCATCTCCACTTTCTGAGAGGACATCATGTACTATGAAAAAAAAAACAACAAACCCAAAGCAGCAGCTGCAATGCAAACCAGCAAAGCTTAAGGGCAATCTGAGAGGGGCATTTCTAGAAGACTACTGCACTGAGAAGGGAGAAGAGATTTCAACAACTCCAAAGACTGTTAGCACCCTCAGCAGGTACAAAGCCACCCTCTCCAACCTGGCTACTCATCCACCAGGTCCTTTAGGCACAACTGCTGGCAGAACGGCAGAACTTCCAGCACTAGTTAACTTTCCCTCTGAGGAGCTTCCACAGCAAGCTGGTAGGAAGTGAGGACAGAACTCCCTGAAGACTAACTGGCTACAGTATATCCTATTATGCAGCCAGGCATAGACCCCAGTGGCCTTTCTGCTAAAGAGAAAAGTACTTTTCCATATGACAATTCAGCATCAGGAACAGATTCAACACATCGCTCTGCCCTCAGAGAAACAGACCAAGACTGCTGAAGAGAAGCAAGCAGCAAACCCAGTGTGCAAGGACAGATGGCAAAAGAAGATGTTCTCCAGTCCTTCCTTCCATTTGCTTCATAGGGACTGCCAAGGAAGCTGATGCAGTCTGCACATCTGCATGCTCCACATGACCTCCACTAGGATGCCTGGCAGCCAGACCCTTGCCTTGGGAAATGACTTTCACTCAGTGCTGTGACTTGCACTCAGACACAGCTCTATATATTTCTTAGGTAAGCACTTAGATTAGTTCATTGCAAGTAACTAACTGACTAGAAAAAAAGACAACAGGATAAGGAAATCCCCTGAACAGAAAACAGTCAAAGACTGGGAGAACAGTAGTGGGGCCATATTGACCTCTGCATGCTTGCCTTGCTTTTGTTCTTCCCTAGGCATTTGCTTGTAACCACTGCTGGAGATTACTGGGCTAGAAGGACTCCTGGTCTGTGGCAGCACAGCTATCCTTATGCTCCCCTAAAACAACTCAGGCCTGTTACTGCTCCTGCAGAGCACGGGGAGGGAGAAGCTAAGTATGTCTAGCAGTGATAACTGCACAGAAGAAAGGCCAGACCTTACCGTAAGTGACCATAAGCAGCAAAAAGTTGGTATTGCGGAACAGATGGAGGATTGATTGCACATAGGAATACTTCTCTGTTGGTCTCGACTGGATCAAGGCCTGAGCTCGGCTCGGAGGGTGTGGGGGCTTCTCCTTGAAGACTGAAACCAGACACAAAGTACACCTGTTTGTAACGGTGCAATCAGGGAGCCTGAGCACACACTGTGGGTAGAGCCATTTGAGGGACGGCAGAGAAGCTAGTAAAACCAAGTGTACAAAACACACCATTGCTTTAAGTTTTCATGCATGGAGATCAACTTATCCAGAAACAGGAGAGAACAGGGTCTCTCCAACAATAACTCCTGCCACTGGAGGAACACCTTGCCTTCAATTAGCTTTTTGTGTATGCAGTGTCTGGCAGCAACAAAAGAGTTCTCAGGTCTAATAATGCCTTTGTCTCCAGGAGGATGACCAGCCAGCTGCAAAAGTGTTGCATGGACTTACAAATGCAAAAGCAGAATGAGAAAAGCCAGCTGGCAAAGGCGGCCTGGTGCCCTGCAGTCCCCAGTGCCTAGGAAGCAATGATCTATGCCAGGTTTTATTTCAGGCCTGGCACTTAGGCTGGCCAAGCCATCTGCTATCCCTAACTAGCATTAAAGTAGCATCCAGAAATCCCGGTCACAGGTGATACTGCTGTACCAGGTGCTAGACAGCCATTTTTGTACCTTGCCTATTCCCTGCCCCAGATTCTTTAAAGTCTACATCTGATTCAGCCACCAGGCAACATGAACAAGCTGGCAAGGGGAGCCTATAAAAACAAAAAAAAAAATTACATGGAGTTCAGCAGACAAGCTCTGCTCTCCAGTGAGCATGCCAATCTTTCATGCTAAAGATCTGGCTTCCACTTCACATGTTAAGCAGGGGAATTGCACCTCTGGTGTCCTGCTACTACCTTTAATGTTTCCTTCTCTCCACTCATAATTGGTTACCTTTTTTTCTCCTAGGAACACCTTGTTCCTGTGATGCCATATAACCTGCCTCTTTCTCCCTACCCTTAGGATGTAGCCAGGTCCAAGATATAACCTAAGGCCTAGCACTGTGTTTGCAGGCAGGATGACTGTGAACCTTGGAAGATTTCTGTTGGCTTTTAAAGGACTTATTCATGCCAGGGTTTTATTACGCAAGCAATCAAAGGATGAAATGAACAATTTGGCAGTCTCACTCACAACCTCTTGTACTCCCTTCTACATGTGCTGTTCATCAAGGGCTTGAAGCAGCAAGATATGGTATTGCATGACCCTGTCAGCTGCATGCTAGGACACATCCCCAGATGACCTCCCTGGCCTATTTCCTAGCACACAGGCCCCTCACACACACAGGCTGATCTTCTCAGTCCCACCTGGTTTCATGTGCACACTCCCACCTCCTTACCTATGACGACCAGGATGAATAGGGCTGTTGCCACGCCTGCAGTCATGAAGAACATGACGCTGATGTGGTAGGCCAGCTTCTCCACATCCTCCACATTGGGAACCAGAACTGGAGGGACCAGAAAGCCCACAGCGATGCCGAGCTGAGCAGGAGAGAGAGGGGACACACAGAGGTGTGACATGGAACCACAACACTGCCACCACCCCACGGCTCAGCCCCCTGATGCCCAGTAATGGCTCAACTGAGCCTAATCCAATTTCACAACCAAGGTGAAAATCCTCTTTACCACCCAACAATTAAGAGATAAAAGCCAGCTACCCATTGCAATTAGGCCATAAAAGAGGTCCCTCCACTGCACTCACAATTGTCAGGATATTCAAGGCAAGGTTTTACAATAGAATTGAGCAGAATGAATACCTGCCTCCCTCAAAGTGGAGGTCTTTCTTCCCTTGTCCTCCCCCATGCATGTATGTTCCTGTCCACACACTCATCCCACTCCTTACCTTGCACCTGCTCTGGTGCTGGCCTGATCACCTGGTAATCCAATTTTGCTCATTAAAAATGGCAGAAAACAAGACCCTCAAAACCCACCACAATTCTTTGCTGGGTTAATGAGTTGAACCAATTTATTTTCCAGCTGGACAAGTGCAAGGGCCAAGACAGAAACCTGCCCGCTCCTGATAAGTGAGATACTAATCTGGCTCAGCCACTTTATGACACTGTTTCCTAATGAGCCCCCTCCCAAGACAAGGCTCACCCTATGACCACTAGGAGAACCTAGAAAAACATCAAGGTTGAGAGCAAAGTAATTGCTGACAGCACGTATCCTAAACATCAAGGTTGTGTGATGGGACTTGGCAACTGCCCCTGGATAAAATGCTTGGCTCTGAAGGGCTGCAAGAAGAAACCCCTGCAGCTCTAGCCTCTACTGCGCAAAAAGGCCCACATGTCCAGCTGAGGAGCTCCTGCAGTGGCAGCGCACACTTTAGTGAGGACATTAGGGCTTTTAATTCCACAGCTATTTCTCCAGGACAGTGACAAGGAGCTGTAGCAACACAGACTTTGCCACACTGATAAGTGGGACTGACAGTGGCACAGACCTTCAGTGCCACCTTCAAATGGGATAGAGAAGAAACAGCTGCTTTGGTGCTTAGGAGCACACTCTTCTTTTCATAAAGTGGGAGCCAAAGTGCAGTCAGCACATTCGTGAGTACTCTAAACACAAGAGGAGCCTGCAAAAGCCACTTTTTTCCCCCCGTTTGTGTTTCACCGTTTCTGGCTAGATTTCAGTCACCATTTGGTTCCAATCACTGTGTATTTACCCGTTTCCCTGGCCCTTCCCCAGTGCTTGCAGCCCTCTCAGGGGACATAGTCAAATTAAGCCCATTGCATTTACCATTTCCTTATAGGAAACATTAGATTGATAGGAATCAATTAGCACCACCATGACCCGCTGTGCCACGATAATGGACTGGAGAGGATACTGTTTATGCCTCACCGACAACTGAACAGCAGCAAGACAGCACCGCTAGCCAACTGCTGCCCTACAGAAGGATTCTGCAGTGCTCAATGTCTTCCCTGTCTCAATAGGAAAGGGTCTATTACTCTACAGGTATGGAAAGCAAGGACTAAGAAAGGCAAGGACTATGCTGCCCATAAACCACATCCAAGCATGTCAGCACACAGAGCAGAGCTACCCAAGAGCCCTGTAACCCAGGCACAAGCTCAGACATGTTGCTTGGGCTGCCTTCTAGCAAAAACTCCTTGTGCTTTCTGCATGCTTTCTCTGTCCTATCTCCATGTTTCTGGGATGCCGATGGACTCATTTTGGAAGACCCACTCACTGGTCAGGATCAAGATCACAGAACAAATACATTTCAGGCGCCATATCTGGTAGCTGGGATAGAAATCAGCTTGTGCCATCCAGCCCCAGAAAACTCTCCACAAAATCCCTCCTCCTCCATCCAGTTGATGGATTTTTGAGACAGGAAGAATGCTTATGTTTCAGAGCTATCTGCTAGACATAGACATCCTAGTTACTTGTTTGTAAGCTAAATTTCAACCATGTCTGGCCAAACTTCTTCTGTGTCAAACAGTGCCCTCCACTGGGACCTGGAATAGCCTGGGTCAGGATCAGCAACAGGCACCTGTGCCGAGTTCATTCTTGGTGCTGGGACATCACAGGGAGCCGGTGGGGAGAGTCACCAAGAGGTTACAGATGTGCCCCACTGGTTCAGGGCACTGTCAGGAATGAGAACATTCGGGGGTTGGTTAAATGGACTGAAGACAGACACAAGTTGTGCTGACCCAGATAGCAAGTCAAGGACTGAAAGAGCTTAGGAGGAAACCTAAGAGACTGTTAGGAAGGTTAAACCTTCCTAACACCCACACGGCACAGGCAGCCTCTGACACAGGACTAAACTTGCCAGAGCTCAACTTTGTTCAGATCAGACATGGCCTATCCCCAGCCTCTTGTCACAGTGAGGAGGAAACCTAAGAGACTGCCACACGGCACAGGCAGCCTCTGACACAGGACTAAACTTACCAGAGCTCAACTTTGTTCAGACATGGCCTATCCCCAGCCTCTCGTCACAGTGAGTCAGATCTGCTCTCCTCTTCTGCACTGCCCGCTGACCCCCGAGACTCACTACCAGTGAGCACAACTATCAGCTGGCTTAGAGGCTTCAAGCTCTGATCTTCGTTAAGTAACACACCTCCCCCTTCTCTGCACAAGGGAAACAAGCCAGCAGCTGCACAGAAAAGGCAACTGTACCGAACACAGATGCTCACAGAGATCGCTCCTAGAGGGCAGAAGCCTGTTTGTCTCTGCAGCACATTTATTTTGCCCTGCTTGTGGCCAAAGCACATGCCTGTGGCCCTGGCATGCCTGCTCAGCCCAGGACACAGCCACACTGGGCTTCACTCCTACCTCTTTAGCATTCTCTGCAATCACATGCTAGTCCCACGAGCTGCTGAACTGCAGCAAAACAAGAACAGGAAAGGAGGAGAGATCCATGCTTTATTCTGACCTCTGACGTAAGTTTCTCAAGGACCACAGTCAAGATTCACTCTTTTCAGGTCTCCCTCCAGCTTCTCCTTCCTGAAAAAGGATCTATTTGATGTACCTAGCAGAGAGGGTATTGAGAATCTGTTTTGCAAATTGTTCAGAAATCCTTTACTGGGAAGTCCTATAGTCATCACTTACCCAACAGGACACAGACTTGCTCAGCTTTCTTGGACACTGCTGTTATCTTTTCAGAAGACCTGAACAATTTTTTTAATCATAAATGGATGTTTTGTCCTCTCTTCCCTTCCCAAAAAAGGAACCACTTTTATCCATTAGGAGTTTGTTAAACCTTTGAGAAGGGACTAGGTGGTAGAAGGGGAAAAAAAATTCACAGCAATAAGAGCTACATTTTATATTTCAGAGCAACTGATGTTATTAATCCTATGAAGATGAGGCCCCTTGACTTGACTAAAACTGAAGATTTCCTGGAGGATACTCACAGACCATGGATTATTCATACCATTTTTAGCAACGAAGACAAGCTCTAAACAACACGATGAGTGTTATACACCACATACTTTACCTTTCACAAGGAGATTTTTAGCCTGGTTCTCAGCAGGCCAGTGCCCACATCACCATCAGCCCAACAGGCAACACTGTAACCGGTTAACCAGAAAATTTAAAGATGCCTTAGCAAGGGAAAAATAACTTTTCTCCCTTCTCCACACCTCTCTCATCAGGGCTGGGAAAATAAAGCAACGTACAAACAAGGTTGGTTCTGCAACAGTCTGTACTACTCTCCTTACAGAGACTGTCAGTCATTAGGGTTCACAGTGCAGTTCCTCTCACCAGCATACAAATTAGCATCTCCAACCTTTGTACAGGCAGAAAGGTCTCCAAGACCTATATACATAGGCTCTAGTTCCCAAAATTTGGCACATCATTCGGCATCCCCACACCCAAAACCCACAACACTGTCCTGATCTCCGAGAATCTCTCCTCAGGAACCAGGTTGCTGGCACTTTATTTTAAGAAGGCTTTGGAGTAATTTTTAAATAGAATACCAGGGAAGTCAACAACTACAGCAGAGTGCACTGTTCAGGAGACTTGTTCTTTAAAGGCTGATAATGGATAGAAGGAATGTATTTCCTACCTGAATTTTGTCAAGGACCAGTCCCAACAACATCACCATATTCAAGATTCAAGCGTATACAAGAACAGGCAACAAAACCAAGAGCAAGTGGCTAATAAGATAATATAAATATACCCTAAGTCTTGAAATGGCAAATGGGTTGTCTAATTTAAGTTTAGCTGTTTGTATACCAAGAGTCTGCTGAAGGAAGATAATCAGTACAGTATCAGCATAAAAAGTGTAAATGAATGATCAATGGAGGAGTGGGTCTCCACCTTAAAGAAAACTAAGAGTCAGCAACAGGAATACAGAAGACCTATAAAATTCCATAAGTAAGCACAAATATTGACAGAGGAGACCACCAAACCCAGAAGGTCAATTAAAGTGTTAAAAGATAGAAAGAGAGATGCTGCAAAGGCAGAAAAAATACAACAGTGAGAAATTTCGACAATGCCCTTGCAGGCTAAATAAGCGTCATGACAGAGATGATGCAGAGACTGCATTTTTTGATTCCATAAATACTCTTTTCTGAGGAGAACCTGTAAGAGGCAGCACAATTTGTGATTTAGACCTAGAGCAGCACAGTGTGACCACGATCAATATTACAGAACAGTTCTGTACTGCACTCAAATTCAGCTTCCTTGCAGCAGCAACAAAAAAAAAAACCAAACCCCACCCTCCAAAGGACTATGGCAATATTTAACTCACAAGAGGGAGCTGCCTAAAAGGGAAGAAGCTTGTTAAAAGGAACTTAAAAAGAAAAGCCAAAGAAATTAAATGCTTGCAAGTGGCATTAAGACTCTGTAAAGACTGCATCAGAGGCTCAGTGTAAGCCTAGAGAATATTAGCAGAAGATTTTAGAACACAATTAAGGAACCACAGTTAAGTGTAAAAAAAAAAACCAAACCAACCGAACAAAAAAACCCAAACAAACCCAAAACCCAACATCAACACCACCCAACTCAAAAACCAGACATTATTCCTTCAAGCAAAGCAAAAAAGA